AGAGAAATGCGTGAGAAAAACATTAGTGGAAATGCAATAAAAACACATGTCAGTTTATCGTAAACACATTGAGTTGTACCCTATAAAAACATCCCACTACACGAGACGAGAAATGCGTTTTCTGGATTGCAAATTATCACAATGCTTGAAATGTTTCGACACAAATATCCCGATAATAAAATTTCTTACAAATTTTTTTGCTCCCATTTTAAAGACAATTATGATTTAAAATTTGGCAGACCAGCAAAGGTCTTGTGAAGAGCTCAATTCAAAAATTAAAAGTGATTCTCTGTACCTATGGTTCACAAGGGGACCTAGCAGGTAATTTTATGCGGTAAAAAAACTTTGTGAAGAGGACTATGAGGAATTTGCATTGATTATATGGCCAATGTTTCTTTACCCGAAAATGAAATTGGAATGAATATACGATGAAGGTAAAGGCCCAAATCACGTTCGTTCCTTTCTTAAACATTGCTTAAATCAGAAAGATAATAACAAGTATTAAAGACTTTCCTTTTTTTGCAATAATTGTTGTGGGTAAAATGAAAACAAAACATTGATCCGCTATTTAATGAAACAGCACTATAGTTGAGGGCTGTTTAGTTGTGGCGGACTTATAATGCAGGGCTGATGCCAGCCAATTGTTTGTAGAATTGAATCACCAACTTCATTATCTGTGTATATCTTAATTTTTGAAAGACTCTTCCACAGGCTACTGTAACTCTCTCCGAAGAAGCCAACAGGATGATTGGCAAAACGTTAGCAAAATAGACTCAATAACCCACGCAGGAGAAATCCAGAAGTTTTGTGTATCTTAGCATGTATGGCTTATGTAAAAAGAAACACTGAAGAATACAATTTATGTCTAAAACACCGTTTTCATCATATACGATATAAAAATAACATCAACATAATATCGACATAAAATTAATGTACATTATGGTCCAGTATATTTTAACAAACTACTTGATGTTATTAGGAATATATGCGCTAAAGCTAGTTTAACTATGGCTGATTTCCTACCAATCCCAATAGTGCAAATTGTTTTTGACTTTCTGTTTTTGTCATTTATGTTTACATTTGTGCGATTGTGCCAGAGTATGCTTTAGGAACATGAATGAAATAAAGTTAAGTAAGGTAAACTAACAGTATTGCTGAAGTAAAATTCATATTGATTGCGAGTAGGATAACCAAATCAAATATCCAACTGCTTGCAAACTTTACTATCGATAGAATATTAAATAGTCCGAAAATTGTGAAACTTTCCAAGTTATATCCTGTCTATAATTTTCTGATAATGTCAAAATAATGAATAATAAATGCAAGTTGACATTCACATCATTCATAAGCCAAACTGTCACCATTTTAAAAATATTTATTGTTGGTACCATTGTTGGGCCATTTTTCATTCACATTCATTATTCATTTACCTAAAATTCATCTCTGAAAAATTTATTATTGCATACATAGGTTATTTATTTAATTAGTTTGGTTTATTTATTTATTCCGTATTTTATTCTGATGATGACGAAATTTCAAATAAAGCAAGTCATTGCGATAACATTTTGCCAAATTATTTGTCGTGTAGCTTAAAGTAATCACGTTTTGCTCAAAACAAGCGTTTTTGGTATAGCAATCAATGGTGGATTTGTTAAGGTTAGCTAAAAAATATCTCAATTGAAGATAAAATATCTATGTTATTTTTTTCACATTTAAATAAATAAATATTTAGGAAATGGTACTATTGATATGTTTCTCAGCTACTGGCATGCGGTTCACTAGGTATCTTTGGTAACTTGTAGTGTGAGCTGGATACTTAACACAAATCTTCGCAGCCAGAGTCGCCGGTCTGATAGGGATATTGGCCTATGTAGTTACCCCTGAAGAAATAGGTTGAAATAGTTTTTATAACCGAGACCAGAAGAATTTAGAAATTGAACATAACTACAAATAATTGATTTTGAATACTTACGCAGGTCCATAGTTGCAAACGTAAAGCTTCTGGTAACGATAAGCGTCGTCCGTTTCATAAGCTGCGTATCCACATCCTACGTATTCTGTGTCGGCCCATACGAGCTAAGAGAGAAATAAAAAGTTGTTATGTTTATTTTTTTTTTAAATATTTAAAAATATTTCTACAATCCGAATATCCAAATCTTTCCTTTGCCGAATTTGATATTGACGTTCTAGTTGACAACTTTTTACTAGAGTAAGTCCTGCAAAAATTATTCAGTGAACGGCTAAGATATTCACACAAATTCGTTTCAAAATCAGGTATTGGATTTCATTAAAAATAGCCGCACACGTCCATCATAATGTTTTCATTTGCCCTAAATAGAGTGGGTCAAATCCAGGTGTTGATACCATGTTCCTTTTTTTTTAATGCACTGTCGAGTTCTGTAGAAAAACGAAGAACAGAAATTTGATTTTGTAATCAACAGATAAGTAGCTAGTACTAGTAAAGTTCTTAAATTGAGAATTAAAATTTTAATTTTTATTGGATATGGATACAAAATGAGAACTCAAGATGAAGTTTGTAATTTATTTAATGCAAAATATCAAGAAAGAACCTTTCGAAGATCCGCAGTAAAATGAAATATTATTAGGTGTTGAACACCATTAACTTCTTGACAATACTAATCCGTTTAAAAATATTTCAAAGACATTCTTCAGGACATTTTAATTGAATTATTGAAAACAATTCTGCCTATTTGGAATATACTGCCGATTTGGATTTGACAAAGAAACTGCATGAGTAATAATTAATTTGAACAAATTGTAAATATCTGGCTCCAGTCGGATTTTGATCGAAGAAATGAGCTCCAATGATTTTGTTATTCAAAATCCCTGACCATAGTTTAACAAAACTGTAGTCTGCGATCGAGAGAATCTTCAACTCGTGTAGTCATGTAATCTTGAAGAGATGATACTTTTCTTCTTTTGATACTCCCAAAGCTGCTACAGGGTTATGCTCAAATTCTCATAGAATGTTTAATCTTGCACTTATTGCATTGCAGTTTTTGAACGACCTGGCCGTAGACGATCTTTGACATACCCTGTTTCTACAAATTTCCTCTCTATTTTACTCACTGTGGATCTAGTATTAGATTTTTCTGGATATTTTGCGTAAAAAAATTTATAAACTTGTTGAGTTTTCATTGAGTCATATCCAATAAAACATAAAAATTCAATTTTATGATTTTCATTTAGATGCACCAAATTTACTTTTTTTAGTGACAAGTAATTATAATCATTTTAGACTAGCTACTACTTACCTGTTCATTTGAGAATAAAATTTCTGAATTTCATTCTTTTCCTCATGTGTTCCATTTTGAATAAGGAACTAAATATCGACATCTATTTTTTTACCCACCCAGTATATTTACTCCACGACATGTGTGCGAGCATTTTTGTGGAAATCCAGAACTAATTTTTTAATGAATTTTTTCCATATTGTAGCCATTCAATGTATAATATCATTAGTTAATTGTTTTAAAACGGTGGTCATTATTATGTGCTAATTGTCTGAGTATGGTCAACTCCCTATTGAAAAGTTCTATTGATAAAGGAAAGTTAAACAATCTATTAACGGAGGAATTGAAAGCAGAAAATATATATGAAGGGATTGAACTGTCTTCTTACGCATTATTTTTGAACAGCTGAGCTTAATATACAACTAAAAATATTGCTGCACATGTAAGTACGTCTTTCAATGGCTCTTAACTTTAACTTTTTCTAATCGCCTTTATTTGGTAAGGTTCGTGGAAAGGTTGTGTGTACAGTACCTGCGTATAATGTCCAGTGGCACTATCGAAACCGTTGTTGAAGGTGTAAAATTGGTGTTCGTTAAACCAGTCCTGGATAGCGGAATCCCAGTCGGATGCTGTGTCGTACGCGGTCGACATATAGATGTAGAGGTTTTGACCCACGGCTTGCCACCTACTATCAGTGACTGTTTGATGGGCAAACACGCAGCTGTTAGCAATCTGCTGAGCTGCTCCGGCAAGGGCATCGTCGTATTTCTTGAAATTGAAAAACATATAATACAGATTTCTCGTTTGGATAATAAAAAATATATACCAATGCTTTCAGGTTCACTCCCCTCGGTTGTCCCTCGACGGCGTCGTTTGCTATAAGCCTCCGAAGCTCGTTGTGCTTGTCCACAATGAAGCTTTTTTCGCCTTCGCTTACTTCACTTACTGAAAAAATGTTAAACGGCGTCATTCACACGGTAATGGAACAATCGCAATTGGAAGCAATTTAGTTGTTAGAACAAGTAAACACTACAAAGCAATTACGTTATCGTCAACTAAAAGCACGCAGAAAAATGCGCAATAGTCAGAAAACTTCAATTATAGTATATTATGCAACAAGTGAGGTAAACGGCATTTGACTCACGAGTTTAATAAACGAGTGACTTAAAAAGTCTACCGGACGTGTTCAATACTATACTTTTTCTACTACCGTTAGTTGACAAACGTCAAAATTCAAGGTTTGAGAAATATCTCCGAAAACATCCGATTGCTCCCAAACCAGTGCGCTAAAATCCCGGAAATGCCCGAAGTTGCTAGTAGAAAAACAACATAAATGCATATGTATTGTAGCTTTTATTATTAGTTCGAGAAGCGACATTGTAGTCTTTTGTGGTTATTTAAATTTATTATATGGTGCTCCCTGCTTATTTTTTTTAAATTCACGAACCTAATTAGATGGAAAAAAAGTATTAAAATTCTTTCCGGTTTAAGCAAAAAAAAATTATATCAGATATAATTTAGCTGATAATTAATGTCTTTTTTTTGTGCTTTTAAATTTGAGAAGATTGTCACTAAACATTTGCCTCTTCCGAAAATAAAAAAAATATTCAGAACTAGTCTCTATTATATTTTAAATTATTGTATATTCTACCGACAGTGCCAAAGTTAAATTATTAAAAGCAAGAAATAAGTTCTTACGATTCTCCAGTGTATTGTTTCACAGCAATAATTAAATATTTATTAAATGTATAACATTCTCATGATACTAACTATCAATGTGTATAATAGGTTCTCCTCTGAACTTTCTTTGTAATAATAATAATAATAATATTCCAAGGTTTGAAATTATTATTTTTTAGCAATATGTAATATTTTGTGGTGATTGGACTTTTTCTAATAACAATTTTAGCTATTTTTGATTGTAAGCTTTCTCAAGGGAACTTTCTTTAATTAACGTAACATATTGTAAGAACTTTAGACAGGTTCAATCAAAAGTAGCTGTGATTTCAAATAAAAAGCAAATGTTGTAAAGCCAAAATGAAGGATGGGTGATTGATTTGTCAAAAAAAGACTTTAGTAGATAGGAATCTTTCGCTTGTCATAGTAAGCAAACTTAAATTTACTAATATGTTTTGCACCACTGGCAGCATTTTTTTAAATAAATATGTCACACGGTTTAGGGTTTTAGTTTAAGTACAAAAACTGTTAAATTTCTGTAATATAAGCTGGTCAACATATCAAAAATTTCCTGAATTATTTTTTATAGATAGACTTTTTTAGGGTTATACTTGAGCCACGATGCTAAAATAGGGAAAATCTTTTAAAACGTGTCATTTACCTAAAATTTTCGAAATTAAATAAGGCACCCCTCTTGATACTTGTTGAAAATAATACAAATCAAAAAATATCTCCAAAAATGCACCCAAATCGGATAAAATACGCATTTATAATATTTAGAAAAAGGAAATCTAGCATTGTGTACTAATTGACAATAGTGCCAATTTGACTACTTACCAAAAATATTGCAGGCATTGGAAAAAGCCAATCCGCCCAACACCAAAACGATCTTGTTAAAGCAAGCCATTGCTACAATTCCCAGAAATCACTACAACAAAATTAGAAAATTTAAGATCTTTGTACTTGTGAATACTGCAGCAAATTGATTTTCGTCAACAAATCTGCTGATTTATAGATTAAAAAATAGTCGACTAATGAATTTTTCCCGGTGACAATCTTAATAACAGTATTTATATCAATTTTCGATATGTAATTGAGCGGAAATCTTCAGGTTTTGTACACCGATGTTTATGTGTATTTTTTTTTCTTAATATGAAATTATTTGCAGAGATAAAAATCCGGCAAAGAAACTTCCACAGGCTACTGTAATAATTTTTATAAAACTTCTGGATTCCTCCTGCGTCGGTTTTTATTGAGTCGGACTTGCTGACGTTTCGCCAATCATCCTGTTGGCTTCTTCAGTTGTTGGCTCCAGTTTCAGTCAAGCTCTGAAGAAGCCCACAGGATGATTGGTGAAACATTAGCTAGTTCGAGTCAACAAAAACCGAGGAAGGAATCCAGAAATTTGATAAAAAGTACCGGCAGTTATTCATTTAAAAAAGGGCTTCGTCCGACTGGAGCGGCTTCTTTAATATCGGTTTATGCGTAGTTAATTACTGTTAACTATAATCAAGATAATAAGCCGCTACCGGAATCAAATGAATTGGTTCAGTGGATATGTATTAATAATAAATAAAGGTTTGTTAGCGGCACTTGAGCGAATATGTTAGCCATATCGATGTAATGTTTATGTGACTTTTTTTAGTTTACCCTTTTTTTATTATAAACGTCCAAAAATATTGGCCGTAATCTAGTTTTCTGTCATCAATTTTAATGTTTATTTCTTTTTATCTAAAAGTTGGGTTTAAACTAATGTTTTCAGAATTAAATAGACGAAAAATAACTAATTGAGAATGTACAGCGCACATATTGAATGCAAAACAAGATGAATGAAGAGTCATATACAAAAAAGCGTTCCCAAACAATTTAACCACATAGAGGAGTTATAGAAACGCCCTACTTTTATGAAATACTTTGTTGGGGATTCGAATATTAAATAAAATTTCAAATAGCTTATGTTAACTTATACCCATAGCTAGCTCCTACGTATTTCAAAAACCTTTGCTTTTTTGTGAAGCGGGAATACCTTATGCTGCATGTTCCCTATTTGATAAATACGCAGTTCATTTTACGTCGTCAATCAAAAATAGTTACGTAGAAAGCACTGAAGAAATCACGTTTGTGTTACTATATGCTAAGTTACAACAATTTAAAATGTGAATACAGCCTTTTTTTATTATTGATTATGTGTACAGATATTTTCTATGTTCATCATCTTAACTTAGCTTAAAAGCTCGAAAAGTTTCAATGTTTTCCGTCATATGTGCAGACATATCTACCAAAATTCAGTTTTTGCTTTGCCCTTATTCGAGCTATCCCGTATTTTTTCCTGAGCTGAATTTAAAACACCCCGCGCGTTCCGCAAATGTCACTTAAGTTGATAGACAGCTGAAATTTTGGGTCTTGGGCTACTTGTCGAGGTTTCATATAGAACAGTTTGTTCGGTGTTATACAAAGTTGTTTAAAACTTGTCTAGTATTTTTGAAATATAGTAAAGGTTTTCAAAAGTATTTCCAACACAAAATCGGAATGCATGGTTAAAAAGGAATTTTCGAACAATTCAAGATTTGAAAATATGTTCAATGTAAAGGTACTACTTGAAATCGGAAGTCGACATTGACTTTGTCCTTTTAAATAAAACAATTATTGCTTAATTTTTAGATATCTGGAAGAATTGCCTGGATTCAGATTTCCCTGCTAATCTAATGTCAATAGTTTCTATGATTGATTCTTTAAGATGACGGACAATTTATGAAGCAGCTGCACCATATTCATACCGGCAAATTGGTTTTTTCAAATATGTCCTGTAAAATCCGGAAATCGAATGCTGAACTTAGATCGATCTACTTAGATATCATTTAACGGTTTCCTTGTTTTTTATATTTTCTGTAATAAAAGTTCAAGCATATAAAGTTAAAGGATCACTACGGACTAAAGAAATTCGAAATACAGAGATCTTTCTAACTACAAAAACATATAAGGAACGGCTACTCTGTGAGAAACCCTACGAACTTATGACATTGGTGTGCCATGTTATAAAAAACCATTATATCTATACAAACCATTATATCTTTATTTCCGGTCAAAAATCGCTCTTGTTAAGATTATACATGACCGACCTGTATTATTTTAAAACAGACTGTCTGGTTGGTTAAACCTAATAATATGCTGTTAAGCGACAATCACATGATCAACAATATCTGCAATAGATCAGCAATAAGTACTGCCTGTAAGCCCTCACATCATCAGTATTACCGGCTGTAAGGGTGGTACTTATAGCCTTATAACCTGCGGCTGCCCGGGCCAAATAAAATAATTAAAGCTCCTTTAAGGCCTGATCGACGCTCATGAGTTCGGTCTTGGCGCCGATTGAAAAGAATGATGAAAATACTGACCATGTGAGATCGTGTGAGGAAACAAGACAGTGTGAGGGCAGTTTGCAATATTATTTTAGACATTTTCACTCTCAAAGTAAACTATATAGATATTAGGTATAGTATAAATATATGTTTTTTAATGCCATAACATGTAAAACTCGGACGGACAGGTAGTTGACCTTCCTATGCCTTAGTTTTCAAAATTCTCAGCATTCAGTTTTGCAAAAATTGTTGACATATGTTCGCATATGAATGAAGTTGGACAGTGAACAATATACCAGTTTGGGCACGAAGATAAATGCGGCCCCATCAAGATCAGGATTACGTAAAAAACTAAATACCAACCGTGAACAAAATAATGTCTGAATTAAAAAAGGATGATTTCATTCATGGATAAAAGGAAATTGTGGAAAATTTTAAGGGAAATAAATTTCCATAACGGAAAAATTCATAAACGAAAATCACTCCTAATAGAGAAAGAATCTTCTGGCGACGATTAAATTTGAGAGCATGTGAAACAACCTTTCTTGGAAATATTAATAATTATCTTGAAGACTACTTCCAGCAAACACTTCTGATCTTATTTCTCCTATTACAGTCATAGTCAACTCCAAATATCTACATCGTCTTCAAAAAAAAAAAGGATATTCATGAGCTTACTAAATTTATCTATTTTGACATTATTCTTATGTAAGTTTTTATTTACTTGATCTTAGAATAATTAGTATCTCAATTATCGGTCCATATTTATTATTCATTCCCTAAAATTGACCATCCATTGTATGCAAACTAGAGTGACCCTAATTTAGGAACGATTCGGAGTGTGAAATCGAAATACTGAATTTTTAAAAATTTTCTTTAATTTTCTATCTATCTATTTATCTGAACTTTACGATATAACCTTTAAATAGTGTGCATTTGCATTTTATTACTCTCTCGCATTAAGAAACATAGTATAAATAATATAAGCCCTAGGTGACTTGCCAACCATTGTTTTGTTCCTGTTTTACTCACCGCACAGAACTTTTAAAAGACACGCGCACCACACAGTCTGCCGAGCCTAGAAAACCAGGTCTTTTATTATGTTTTCATTATTCACTGAAAATGTTCCCAGCGTGCACAATAAATAAAATCCACATTAATATAACAGTTCCATACGAGGTCAGAATTTATTTACCTAGCATTAAAATCCTACTTTGTTGAAATGCAATGTCAACAATGGTTATTTATTATTTTCGCAACGACAACGTCTTGTTTTCGAAGGCGCGTACATCGAAATCGATTTTTATTCTCGTGGTGTTGACGACACTATTACAAGTCCGTAATTTACTTACTTACCCCACACGAGATGATCAAATCAACGTTCAACGTCCTGTAGCACTGTCGAGAGGCTAATTGCAACATATCACGAAAAAAAAAAGGTTTTTAACATTTTCAAACTTTACAAACGTCTTAAGTTATTAAGATTAAGACTGCTTTGTTTTCAACATTTTGATGACAGTCACTGTGAAAATAACGTCAGTTGCTCGGACGCGATGTTACAAAATCAAATAATTCCATTTTATAACGACTTTCTCTGACAGCTGAATGATTTTGTAATTATCAAAAATAATTTTTAGTTCTATTGCGAACAAAACATGTTTTGGTTGACCTGCTCTGCATGCATAATTTATTCGCCAATGAGAAACAGGTGATCAATCAAATTGGAAAGATATAGCCGTACGTTATTTTCGCGTGAGACGGTAAATTTTTTGAGAGCTATCAAAGTTTGAGGATCGACGAGGTGTATTGGTATTGGCATTTAAGGGGAGCGCCCCCCCGCGGGCATCCAAACACTTAGGAAACCAGATGGGCCCGTTGCGCCCAAACCACGCTAGAGGTCGTCCAGAATGCCGCCCCTTCTATAGAAGGTCGGTAACTTCTTTAGTCGAATACCGTGCACTGAGTCCCGATCGATCAAGGTCTGAGCTGATAATACGGGGTTTCCTCCCCTTCCAAGCACCACCTGCACTCCGGCTCGTCTCCAATGCCTAGCAGGCAAATATGCCTCCTAACCCTGCAGGGTCCTGTGTAGGCCCTTGTTAGTACTCTACACTCCCCTCTAAGCAGTCCAAGCAGCTCCCTGGTTTATCATAAGCCTCGTCTGGAATTTTGATTTAGGGCTAATAATTTACTCTTAAAAATATCAATTTTCAGGGGTCTTTTAGATTTTTGCCTATAATTGAAAATTTTTAAAAATATTTCCCGACCCCCCAGCCCCGCCAATTTCAATAGGTTCCGTTACGGAACCAAACTCTATATTTGTTCATCTCGGTTTCTGCGAATTTCGGACACTTATCGTGTTTCATAGCGGTGTACCAAAAACAGACGAAAATCGCAAAAAAAGGCAGATGTCAACTTTCAATGGCGGCTATTTCCAATTTGCCTCGTGACAAGTTTAAAAGGAAAAAAATTCAGTATCCTTTCTGTAACGGTTCCGAAGTTATTCGTATTTTTATGGAACGTCAACAGAGAACTATAAATAAAAACGTTTTTTTCTATACCAATGGCGTCGCTGTGCGATGCACCGTTTTCGAGATATCAGTTTCGTTGCCAAGCGCGTAGACTTTCGAAAAATTCTATTTTATCGATTTTTCGAAAGTAACAAACTTTTAGTGTATATTCCTATCCTATCCAACAAAAAAATCAAAATCGAACCATAGACAAAGATTTTACAAGGGTGTACAGTTCTTAAGTGGGACACACTGTATATTATTTAAGTGACCGGAGCTAAAGAGGGGCATGAACATTGTCTCGGATGACTGACTTCCCTATTGATGAAAGGTAAAGACCTCAGTCGCGGTTAAGATTGTTTGGTTGCTTATAGATTCTCGCATTTTACCTTGGTAGAATTAATTACATTTGATGTCCCAGTCTCATGATTGTGTTCGGCAACTGCTGATGAGTTTATTTGTTGTAGTCTGAAGGCTTCTTCATGTTCTTTGAGCCTAGTCGATTTTTTTCGTTTAGTTTCTAAAATGTATTCTTTGCCGCATATGCAAGGGGTGCTCTAAACTGATGGTTTCTCAAACGGAATTTTGTCTTTGACAGATCAGAGATGTCCTGAGATTTTTGGACAACTGGTAAATCTGGTTTTGACGTTATATTGTTGTGCTTAAGTACATTTTGTTATGAAATGTTTAATTATCTGTAATATGAAACAGTGGCAAGTGTCGGGGATTTATAGACATCGACGCAGGAGTAAACCAGCAGATATGTACATAATATTACAGTAGCTCATGATGTCAAAACCTCGTCTACTTCCATCAGAACATGATTCATGTTTACCATCTACCCAGAATTACATTTAAAAAATTTAAAAACTATCGCCTACAATAATAAAACTAAAATTCGTGAGTTTTGCAGATTCCCTAAGATTCACAACCCAGGATTACCGCTAAGACCTATTGTCAGCATTGTTGATTCTCCGACATATTATCTATCAAAATATCTCGCTTCTATATTAAAACCCTTTACAGGAAAAACTGATAGTTTCGTACTTAATTCCTTTCATTTCATTGAATTACATTATATCCAAACGATATCCTGGTTAGTTAGAATCCCTCATTACTAAAGTCCCTATACCTAAAGCTTTCAATATTATCTGGATACAAACCTTCACATCTTAATTGAAAAATGTTTGTTTGGAATACGTTTTCTTGTCACGGTCAAATATACGAACAAACGTCCAATAGCCAACAATCACTGATGAAGAAATGAATTTACAAGATTTTTAAATTCCATTACAGCAGCCTGTGGAAGTTTCTTTGAAAAAAAGAGGTAACAAACTTGTCTTACCTTTTTTAAAATATTTATCTAAAGCCCGGAGATGCTTAAAAATGAAGGAGTGTTGTCGCGGTTGAAACCTATAGTCTATTTAATAAGGCTTGTATTCTTAGAATTTAAATTAGTATGCACTTGATAATGGGTGGTGATACATTTTTCCCGAAACATTGTGCAAATAAAAAAAAAGACAATAGAAGGTTGACTATCACTTGGTATTTCTATCCAAACTCTCCTTGAAAGATGTACTGTATTTCTTTGAGAGAATAGGGCTCTTCTAATGGAGGGAGTGAAGACATGAGTAGATGTATAGTGCCGATATAAGCAACAGAAACCGTACATAACCTCAATTTCCTAACCCCCCCGCAGCGGGGGCCCCCCGCGCGTGGCGTCCTAGTGTCCCCCCTGTCTACCAGAGTGCGCTCCGCCCCCCACCCAGCTTGTGTAGCGTCCTGTTTTGCCCCGGTTCCGCCCGTCGCTGCTAGATGTCGCGCGCTTGTGTAGCGTCCTGTTTTGCCCCGGTTCCGCCCGTCGCTGCTAGATGTCGCGCGCTCCGACCGTCGTAGGCCCCCCCGGTAGAGGGCGGTGACGGTGCGGCGCGGTGACGCGGTGGATCGGGAGGATAATTAAATAAACTTGAATTTTAATACATTTTATTTTATTTATAAAATTGGTCTGGCGAGGAGTTTCTTCTTCTTTTTATGTCGATTCAGTCGACCATCCCATTGTTCCTGTTCCTTGCGTTGTTCTTCTTCCCGTTCCCGGAGGAAATCTAAATACGAAGTGCACTCCTCGCCGTCCCACTCCGTCGACCACCCACCCGGGTACTCCTGCTGCTCCTTTGTTTCTTTTGATCCACCGGGTTGCTCCTGCTGCTGGTGATGTTCCCTTGTCGTTTCATGTCGTACCGGGAATTCTAACCCCCGGTACTCTTTGTGTGATTTGAATATGTGACGCCCTAAGCGATGCGCCAACATAATATGCGACTTGTCATACGGACAAACCGCGATTTTTTCTAGAACAAAACAAAGTATGATATGTAGCGTTTCCTATAAAACACACATTTTTTTTTTTTAAACAAAACTTCCAAAAAGGGGGGTTATCAAATAATTTTAAAAATTGTTTTTTAAGTTATACGCGCATACCAAAATTCACGTTTCAATTCACTGTCATTTAAATGTACGTGTATTATTGTCAAAAGGGCAAACTGTAATTTTTTAGTACAAAAAATAAACAAAAATATGTATATATTTCGCGTTTTCCCCATAAAACGCACATTTTTGAAACAAAACTTTCAGTAATTTTAAAAATTGTTTATTTTTTAAAAGCCAAAATTCCCTATTCACTGTCATTTAAAAGATATTAAAAACGCTCAATTTAATTCGATTATTATTGTCAAAAAGGCAAACTGCAATTTTTTAGTACAAAAAATAAAACATTTTTGAAACAAATTTAAAAATTGTTTATTTTTTAAAAGCCAAAATTCCCTTTTCCATTCACTGTCATTTAAAAGCTATTAAAAACACTCAATTTAAATCGGTTATTATGCAACGTAAAAAAGATGAGTATCATATTTTAAAAACAGGTAGAAACTAACCAAAAAAGTGATAACCCAAACTGAAACCCACAAGAAAAGACGCGCACTGTATAAAGGTAATTAAAATATAAAACTTACCAGTTGTAGGATCGTAGGGAAATGGACATCGCACTTCTGTATTCATTGCACTGAATATAGTCTATAATACACATGCAACGTATTTATACACATGCACTCCCTTCCATGGTTGAATTAAAAGTCGAAAGGTCTTCTACCCACAAGCACCAACGCCGATTTGAATAGACGCGATGTTGTCGCCAGACAACCGTGCAGGTAGAAGTCTCAAGGTCAACACGCTTTCACACGGGAACGCAACCGCTTCGGACGTTGGACGAACGTATGTTGCCGCAAAAGATCAAGGCCAACTTGCTTTCATTTTTTACAATCTCCGTATGGGATGTGGAATTTCATAACGCGCCGAGTCTAAATGTCGAGTTGTTTTGCTTGTTGAGAATAATAATTAATTGCCCCCTTTATATTTGCTCCGTGGGATTAACGTAATGGGAAAAATTTGTTGCAACGCATGTGGAGGTGTCTTCGTTTGTTAACTTTTAGAAAGTATTCTCGCACCGTATAAATACATCTCATTTTTCTCTGTTTTGTCAGTAGTTGTTTTTGGTATTATTCGTGCAACGTGGAAGCTAACTTAGTGGTTTGGTGTTCGTACAAAAAAGCAGTAAGTACCTTTTTTATTGTCTTATTTTAATTCTTTAACATTTGTTATTATTTTATAAAGGTCTTAAAGATCATCTTAGTACTCTCAACCCGTAACCGCAAATAGAATAGCAGCAATCTTAAGCGTAAGTTTTTTTTATTTTTTTAATTTTGAGATAAAATAATTAATAATAATTTATAGATGGACTTAAGTCAACTGAATCAAACCTGTCTTGCAGAAGGTGATTTTGAGCAGCCGATTGTCAAACTGCATGAATTGCCGATAGGCGTTCCGTTTAAAATTACTAGAGCCAAAATTGTTAATACAAAATTTGGCAATTCCGTGTTGCTGCAATTAGAAAATTCCGTAGTATTTCTTCCTACTCGCGTGACAGAAGCTTTCCGTCCGAGACTAGAACACTTTGCGTCGGGGCAGTACAAACTGGTCTACGAGGGATCCAAAGATATTGGAAAGCCCAACTCTTTAAAGAAATTCAAAATAATTCAAAATTAATCAACATATTATACAGGGTAAGTCTTATTTACTGTTATATATTTAATAAACCACGATGCGCGTAAAGCAGATCATTCATAGAGCGCAAATCTTAATTTTAACCTTACAAAAATTAAAAAAGCATATTTCCGACAAGTTCACTCTTAGAGATAGTGATGTGTGGCTTAGGAGACTAAATAAAAATATTGAATCTTGCAACCAAATCGTTTCTAACGAAAAGGATTTATCTATTGGGTTAAAAAGAAAATTACAAACTACAATTCAACATCTGAAAGCTATTAGAAAAATTATTCTTAATTATCAACATAAGCATTTTGGATTGGGATTACAAAGTAGTAGCCGCGAGACAAACACAAATGAAATGGTTGTATGGGAATCGGTAGCGTCGTGTTTCCAGGGAAGAGTTCAGACTGGTGTCATAATTAATTTACTTCATAAAGATTTAATTCAATTTTTAAACGATTCTCGTCCAATATTTCAACAAAAAATTAGTCAAATTTTAAAGAAATTTTTATTGCTGAAAGTAAATACCACATTTTGCGGTGAATTTATTAAGGCAAAAAATGATGTCCAAGGCGAAGTTGATGTTAAATATCTGAGTACCGGAAATGCTGTAGTTGATTTAGGAACAGAATTGAATGATTGGTTTGTTGAAAATGTGCAAGATAAAATTTTAAATCAAATGTCAGAGTTTCAGGAACGTGATTCCGGGTGGGCTTTAAATAATATTATTTATTTAGAGATTAACATTAATAAATTTGAAATGGGTAACGGGTCATCCTTCGTTGAGTTGCCTAAAGAAATTGCGAATAAAAGGGCTTGTATTAACATTAGAAATGACGATCAAGCGTGTTTTTATTGGTCAGTTGTATGCGGACTCTTTCCAGCACGTTTTCGTCAGTATTTACCCTCTTCATATCCATACTACAAAAGTGTTTTGAAAACTGAAAATTTACAAACACCTATGGAAATGAATAAAATAAGCAAATTTGAAAAAGACAATGATATTTCCATCAATGTTTATATCTTAGAGTTTAATAAAAATGAAAAAACTAGTTTTTTTTCCGTGTTACCTGCACGATTAACAAAAGAAAAACGCGAAAAACATTCAAATTTGTTGTTAATACAAAATAAATATTATCCAAAAGTTAATGATTTTGATCCTGATCCGCAAGATAATGATTATGAAGAAATAAAATATCACTATTGTTACATTAAAAATTTGTCTCGATTAGTTTCCTCACAGCTCAGTAAATATAATCACAAGAAATACATTTGCGATAGGTGTTTGAATTATTTCAATAACGAAACTCGTCTACATGACCACGAAACAATATGTTCCAGTTTCAATGAGTATAAAGTGTCTTTTCCCAAATATGATTACGTTGAATTTCGAAACCATATATATAAACAAAGGACTCCGTTTGTAATTTACGCCGATTTTGAGAGTCAATTGAGAAAAGTAAATTTGAAAATTTCAGATAAAACCTCGAAATACCAAAAGCACGAAGCTTACAGTGCTGCATATTACTTTAAATGTTCTTATGATGATTCAATATCATTTTTCAAAAGTTATCGTGGTCTAGATTGTATTGATTGGTTCGTGGAGGAAATATCTAATTTATCAAAATTTGTTCGTTCAAAATTTAAGGATATTATACCAATGGATAGTGAAATTAGTCTAGATCAAAGGTCGAGTCATTGTCATATTTGTGAAAAACCTTTTTTAAAAGAAGATGTTATTGTTCGTGACCATGATCATTTTACTGGTAAATTTAGAGGTTTTGCCCATCAGGCTTGTAATTTAAATTTTAAAAAAATATTTGTAGTGCCCGTAGTATTCCAGAACCTTTCTGGATACGATAGCCACTTCCTGCTTCCGGTTTTAGCAAAAAAAAGCTATGTATCCATAGTTCCGGTTAATAAGGAAAAATACATCTCTTTTACATATTTCGAACCTGATTATAACATAAAATTTAGATTTATAGATTCGTTTAGATTTTTGGGAGCATCTCTGGATAATTTAGTTTCCAGTATGGATAAAAATGAACTATATATTTTAAGAAAAGAATTTTCCGATCTCGACGAATCAAAATTAAATTTACTGTCGCAAAAAGGTATTTTTTGTTACGATTACATCGACCATATAGACAAATTAAATGAAACAACTTTACCCCCGATTGAAGAATTCTATAATAAATTAAGTGAAAGCAATATTAGTGAAGAAAAATATTCCCACGCACAAAGTGTTTGGCAGTCGTTTGAAATAAAAAATTTAGGCGAGTATTCAGATTTGTATTTAAAAACCGACGTTATTCTTCTGGCAGATATATTCGAAAATTTTCGAAAAACTTGTATGGCAACACACGTTTTGGATCCGGCGTGGTATTTCAGTATGCCCGGGTATACATGGGATTGCATGCTTAGATTCACAAAATGTCGTTTAGAACTTTTGCGCGACATTGACCAAATTATGTTTATCGAGCGGGCTATACGAGGTGGAATTTCGGTGTGTGTTGGTAGATATGCGGAGGCCAACAATAAATATATGCCCAACTACGATTCATCCAGGGATGATTCCTATATCATGTACTTTGACGTCAATAACCTCTATGGCAAGGCCATGTGCGAGCCTCTTCCTTACGGAGGATTCGACTGGATGTCTCATCAAGAGATTGATTCATTTAATGTCATGAACATTCCAGATGAATCTTCCCAAGGATATATCCTAGAGGTAGACCTGGAATACCCGCAGAAATTACATGACACACATAGAGATTTTCCATTTTGTGCCGAACATCGAGTGCCCCCCAATTCAAAGTTACCAAAACTAATGACTACTTTGTATAATAAAGAAAAATACGTCATACACTATCGCAATTTAAAACAGGCTCTCAAAAACGGTCTCGTACTAAAGAAAATTCACAAAATATTAAAATTTAACCAATCTCGTTGGTTGAAATGTTATATCGATCATAATAATAAATTAAGAACCCAAGCAAAGACAAAATTTGGTATAAATTTATACAAATTGTTTAATAATGCCGCTTACGGTAAAACAATGGAAAACATTCGCAAGCATCGTATTGTTAAATTTGTTAAAGCGTGGGATGGTCGCTACGGTGCGAAAAATTTAATTTCTAGTCCTAGATTTCACAGTAGAACCATACTTGATAACAATTTGTTGCTTATAGAATTAAAAAAATCGGAACTTTGCTTTAATAAGCCACTTTATATTGGAATGTCCATATTGGATTTGTCGAAAACGACCATGTACGAGTTTCATTATAATTACATGCTTCCAAATTTGGGTCCCGAAAAATGTAAAATTCAATACATGGATACGGACAGTTTCATTTATAATATCAAATGTTATGACGCATATGAAAGCGTTATTAAGGCCGATTTAACAAAATTTGACACGTCTGATTATCCTAATGACAATCCCTATAATATACCGCAAATCAACAAAAAGGTTTTGGGGTTGATGAAGGATGAGACTAATGGCACCATCATTAGTCATTATGCGGGGTTAAGGTCGAAAATGTATACTTTCAAAATTTTAACGGGTTCGGTAGTTAAAAAGTCAAAGGGTATTCAGTACAATATTGTAAAAAATAAAATTTCATTTGATGACTACGTAGAATGCTTAACAAATTTTAGGGAAAAGTACGCCACTCAACGAACCATTCGCTCATACACTCACAATGTATTTAGCATCGAACAAACAAAAGTTGCCTTGAGTCCTTTAGACGATAAACGTTATCTTTTGCCGAATTCATATGAAACGCTTCCGTGGGGACATTATAAAGTGCCGTAATTATTTTTTAATATATTTTTGTTACAGATTATGGTCAAACAACTTACATTAGAAAGCCTTTGTATTATAACAATTTGCGAAAATATTAGGTGTAGTGCTGATTTTTTGCTTGAGTCACCTTTGCCTTGGAAACTAACGATACTAATATTTAAATATTATTCGAAATATAGATGGAGGTACCTTAAACAATTAGCGCTCCAGTCTGATGGCAATTCTTTATTAAATTTAGAATTCATTCTGTTGAATAAGAGATTTGGATCGTCTTACAGAAATAGCATTTTGGCAACTCCAACCATTGATTTTGACGGAGAATCCGCTTACTGTTTATGGGTCAGTTATTACAGGATAAAATATTCGGAAATTTTAGTTTGTAAATCTTGTCACTTTATATTTCAACTAGTTAAAAAATTTAAAAAGAAAAATTTTAGACTTTTATTGGATCACTATCATTTACAGCTGGATATAAATAATTTGAATGATGTATATCACGATAAACAATTTTGGTGTCAAAGCTGCTTTGAAGAAGTTTTGTTCACTGTAGAAACTGAAGATGAATGTAATTTAATGCTTCACGATGAGAGGAAATATGGAAAAAAGTTACGCTTTTCTGATAGTCCATTGAACTATTAATACTGTGGTTTTATTATAACATATGTAACTGTAGATAAGGCTTTTATGTATTGATTGTATTCCATTGTATTGCAACAAGAATAAACATGTATATATTTAGACGCTATTTTCTTTTTTACCACCACCACAACACCGCATAATAATTACACAGAAGTTTGTAATTGTATAATTTATTTATTATATACATTATTACTATTTTACAATTTCGTTAAATGCTAAATTATTAAATTGTTCTAGTTTTCTTTTGCACTCTTGAGCTTGCATCCGCGCCACTTGCAAGTCTGTATTAAAAAGCGCAATTTGTGTTTCAATTTCGTTGATATTGCACTCTAATCCCGACAACTGAGACGCCAAGTTTCTTTTTAAATTGAATGCCTCACAAATGACACTTTTTTCTCTACCGTCCGTGAACACTTCGAGCCAATCAGCGGATGACGTTGGAGCTGCAAACGCTTCACTTGTGGTAGTTTTCTTCTTCTTCTTGCGGGATACGACCGACGCACTTTGTTTTCGTTTGGTCGCAGATTTTTTGGTTTGTTGCTCTACAGGAACGAAGCTGGACGGGAGCACTTCTGATGAAGGAAATTGCAACTCGAAATTTTCCAATAAATTATACAATTCGTTGGATGTCACAATTTTCTCTTGAGCCATCATATACACGTATTTATGTCAGAACTTCTAAATCGAGACTAAATTTATTTCAAAACGTCTACGTTGTCTACCCACGAATCGTGCGACTTATCCAATCCCAACCAGCGCACGAGAACCATATTGCCTCGTCTGCGCAACACCTTTTCGACGAGATATAAGTCCGGGTTAACTGTCTTCTGCAATTCTTCTTCATAAAATCCGCCCATTATGGGTTTACCCTGCATATCTTGAAGCAAATACGTTACGGGGTTAGTAACCCGTACTTTAACAATTTTAAACAATTCCGTGGTCCAATTCGGTGTATAACCTTTGTTGAAAACGTGCTTGACTTTGCTGATTCTAACGATGTCGCCGACTTTAAGTTTACGAGGACCGAATATTTTTATGCTACTATACGCGGTTTTCAAAATTCTCTTTTCGTTGCTCTTACTCACATCGATGGGTTTCGTACCCGTCGTTCTATGTTTTGTGTTATTGTATTCACCAACGATAGAGGCGAGCACATCGATCCATTTGTACGTCCCGCGTAAAGAAAAATGTCGAAACAATTTCTCTTTGAGGGTACGTATCACCCGTTCGACAATTGAGGCCTTTTTTATGCTATACGTACTATAGTGGTTAATTTTATGCTTATCCACAAGTTTCAGAAACGTGTCGTTGTAAAATTCTTTACCGAGATCCGTTTGCAAGTTTTGAGGGTGCCGTCCGTCCTTGAGAATTTTGGAAAACGCCTTGGCGACTTCGACCCCGGTTTTGGTTTTCAACGGGCGACACCATACATATTTTGAGAAACAGTCTATCACAACCAGCACGAATTTAAAATTTCTGTTTTGTTTGCTGTAGCGATCTAATTGGGCCAGATCCGCTTGCCACAGGTCATCCATCCCTCGTATTATAGTCCGGCGGCGAGCATAATTTCTGCGTGCCGGCTTGTGCAGTTCTCGAACCAGTTGTACCTTCTCTTTATTCATAATGTGTGTTCGGTTGCGATGGAGGATTTAAAACCCTTTGTTTCAATACCTTCATTATATTCTCATTTTCGTTCGTAAGTCGCTCCATTTTGGTTACAATATCACGAAATTGCTGTGACAAAACGGCGACTTTTGTCATGTGCTTTTCCAAATCTTTCTTTGCGCTCATTTCGCTTAGCTTTTGGTGGAAAACTTCGCGAAACTGCATAATTTCATTTTCGAGTGTAGTGCTACTCATTTTCAGTTGTTCTTCAAGACGCGAGAATTTAGTTTTGTCTTCAATTTGTAATCTTTTCGTGTACGCTTCGAGTTTCTGTCCAATAATCTTTCTCAATGCAATTTTTAATAAATTACTTGTCTCATCCACATATTTTTTGTTAGCCACGTCACCGTCATCGCTAGGCGTTTGGACATTGCAAATTTTTAAATTGTTCATATTGACGTTTCCGTCTGGCATATAGTCGAGGGCGCTTCTAATCACAGTATTAGTGAAGGGTCGTTTAGAGCGCAGCGCGCTAGAACGTCCAAACTTGTCCAGACTCATCGTTAAACTAACGTATAAAACCTGATTCTTTTAGCTCTTCAACGATTGAAACTATTTCGTTATCATGAGACGTGTTGCCTGCGTGTTTCGACGCGATTAGTAATTTCAGACGCTCTACGAGTTCATTGACGTCGTCCCAGTATACATATTCAGTAGGAGCGTCATTATAACGCATATTATAACCTTGACCGCTGTACGAGTACGAACGCGACTGAGATTTTATTAAGGGTCGGATGACCTTGGTATATTTTGGTACAGTCGATGCGCCTTTCAAACGTCCGATCGCGTCCCTGTGCACCTGGGTAGCCTCCATTATTTTTTTATATTGTGCCAAATCGTCTTTTGTGTATGCTATGGGATCTTTCAAAAACACCAAATTATACAAGCCGCGGGTACCGGAATATCTCTCGCCGTCTACAATAATATCGCCAGATCCTTGATGAAAATCCAGCGATTTATTGCCGAGAAACCATTTGGATGATATTTTGTCGTAAACGGGTCCGTAAACAATATCGGTGTCGGGCGATTTTACCCATAAATTTTGAATATATGAATGGGAAATTTCTGGATATTGTTCCAGGTATGATTGAAGGGATGCGTTGGC